TCATTTGAATCAAACTAAATAAATATTTTTTTATCTTATAAAACACAAGACGGTGTTGCATAGGAAATAAAGATACTGTTACGACTTAGGGTTCGGGATAAAAATTTAAAGCCAATTAAATTCACAATAATAATTCTCTACTTGATCATCCCGATTGTTCACTTCATTTGTTTTTGCTTTGGAATTCGTTTGTATACGCACTTCAGTTAATTTATCACTGAAAGAATGCCGGGACTAGTATTCCACCGCGTATTTTCTTAAAGAGACTGATACCACATCTAGAAGGTCCTAGAACATTCTAGGTTGGCCTCGGCCCTATCTGTGAATTCGAGGCATCACCAAAACGTTTCGGCGAACGGCTTTCTTCCCTTTCTCACTGACGTATATCTATATGACTCGTAGTTATGACGGTGATAACGCGATTTATTTAGGGATGCACTTACGGATTTACAGGGTGCTATCTATTGTTCACCTCAGATAGGTGTTCGGCAAAAAGGTTATGGAAACAGTGATAACAGTCAATGTTACTTTAACTGTTTATGTGAGATAGCATCTTTCTGTTAAACGTTAGTAAAATATAGAAAACGGCCGTTAAATGACACGTAATGCCATTTATTATCATGTATACTCCATTCATTATAACATTAGAAAAAAGAGGGTCATAGAAGCAGCAGTGCAGAACATTTTATTTTCAAAATAAATTTAAAAAATATATTTTAATTTTGTTGAAACTTTGAACGTTAGGTAGTCTGAAAGAGCTGGGCAATTTTCCATTTTTTATGATACCTCGGGGTTGAGATGAGGCCAGCATTTTATAGATTCATCTTTTAGTCCCAAGCCAACTTGGAACTAAAACTGAAACTATCTGTCTGTTGTTTTGATAAATTCTAATTGTAAGTGTAATTAGTTAGACTATTGGTGAAGACATTGGAAAAACTCCCTGAAATGTCAAAGGTTGAGGGTAGGTATCGGGACTTAGAGCGTAATTTTTGTAGGCCACTCGGGCCTGCATCGGCATCGTCTATATTTACCAAAACTTAACAACAAAAACAAAACAACAAGAAAGTAGCATTCACAATGGATGACAATCCCAGATTACGATTTTAACAATTATGAATAAATAATAGTCTGACAAAATTAAAAAGTTGTACTACCAAAACGTTTGAAGGGGTTGGGCAACGTTTTAAATTTGGTAGAGTTATAGTGACATAAGAATCGTGCCGAAACTATCCAACCCTGATTCTTTAGGGTCTTTACGATGAACACTTTTTATTGTAATAGTTATTAAATCATTTAAATTAGTCATATACTCTTAAATTTGTTTAATAGATAGCTTAAATGACAACAGTAAAGTATAGCAGCTGGTATTTAAGTGGATATGTAGCCGTCAGTCTTAAAATTAACATGATTATTGATATTTTATCACAAAGTATACCATAAAAAGAACCTTATTTAACTTCTGTCTAATGCTATAATGAATGGAGTATAGATGAAACATCGCGCCGCTGCAATGCGCAACAATACCATAATACACAAATGCAATATTAATTAAAATTAACATACTTATACAAAATTAAAATATGTGATATATGAACTCTGAAACTTTACATTATGTACTATGAAATCTTTGAATCCCACTATGATAGTGGTTTGTAAAACTTTTTCTTTCGTTGTTGGTATACTTTCGAATTATGAAAATAGCGGTCAGATAAACTAACCGTAAAGTTATATCTCGTCTATTGACTACAAATTATGGTGAAATCAATAACTTTGTTTTATCACCCATTAGATCCAGTGTTTCTATCACAAATTGTCATAAGCAAAGGCAAGAATAATGAGATACATCCATTCAAAATGTACCCTTATATAAATTATTAAAATATTAAAACGCTATCTTAATAGTGAGATATTGCAATGACACATTTTCTGCGATAAATATAAAAGTTATAATGTAAATATATATCCAGTCACGAAGTAAATTAGGTACCTACTATTACATTTTTGACTACAACAAAAAACTGTATCGATGGGAATGTTCTTCGACCTGTGACGTTTTAGAAACATTCTTACCTGTCCGACTAAATTATTGAATAAACTTAACACTTATTACTAAATTGGCAATTACTAAATAAGAGATTTGATTAACCAAACAAAACAGATGTTTGAAGCAGGAATTTTACAAGTCTTATCTAATAAAAGCATTGCACATAACCTAGATATTTTGAAAGTGTAGCCAATGTTTATAAAAATTATTTAATAACAATGAAATTAATTAGAGTAAATTAACCTTATTAATGTAACATTTTTTTGTTTCAGTTTATTTAACGTTGTTATGTCATAGCACTTTGGAACTTTTCGCATAATTAATTTGAAACGCATTTTATGGCACGGTCGGTAAATCGGAAAAATTATTATTTGTCAATATATAGTGTAAAATACATTAATTTTAAGATTCACTTAGACAATTACAAACTTTGATTCCCTGTTTTTCAATTCCCTTTTCCTTTATCACAATATTTTACACGGACGGCGCTCAGTGGGTAGGCCCCCCACCAGGTGGACCGACGATCTTATAAAGGTTGCGGGAAGCCGTTGGATGCGGGCTGCACAGGACCGATCGTTGTGGAAATCTATGGGGGAGGCCTATGCTCAGCAGTGGGCGTCTTACGGCTGATGATGATGATGATGATGATTATCACAATATAAAGTAACTTTAATAAATTAGATGCTACTAGATCAGCTTTGGTATTCTGTAAAAAGACAGTTACCTTTTGAAGTAGGTAGTTTTATTTAATTGAACTTACAAATTGCGAATGTATTTAATGCACGTTCTCACAATATTAAGAACATTGCAAGTTAATTATCTTTCTTCGGTACATTAACAAAATGGTAAGAATTTTGCTGCAAAAATTAAATATTCTTGAATTAATTCTTCTTTACTTCACATCATCACTTGGTTGCTCCTTTCAATTATACTTTAAATAGAACTTTTCAAAAAGATAAAGTTAAATCTGTATAGTATGAATAGAACTTCCCTACTAACAAAGGTCTGCTTACACTGATGGTGTGTAGCGTGATGTGCCGCCGTGTGTATATAAATCATCAATTAACTGATTCAATATTCTATATTTCTTTGATATATTATTTAACGCAAGTTCCACGTATATTTAATTTATTATATAGGACTGTTCATTCCCTCACAAAGGGCTATATTTATTATAATAAACGACTACGACTAAAATTCTCTACTGGATCATTTAAATTTTTTCTTACTCATTGGTATGTATGATCACTGAAAGATCATACATACCAATGAGTATTGATGTTGCATGTAATTAAAGAAGGGTAAGTTCAATCGTTAAACCTCCACGCTTCTCATATACAACATGGTCCAGTTCTTACGGTAAATTCTAACGCAACGGTCCAGCGATCAGTAGAATGTTACATTTCACTACATTTCTCAGGCAAAAAAACATGTTTATTAATCGATCTGCATTTCAACATATTTATAGAACGAAAAACAAAAACCGTTGTGAAAAGCAATAAGTATTGTCCATTTTATCTGACCAGTGTGTTTTGTCAAACAAAATTAAACAAATGAACAAGGGCATACAAAAAACCTGCATGATCTGAATATAAGATTGACGTGTCTTAATTTTCAAATGAAGAAAAGAGTCAATTATAAAAGCAGAAGTGGCCTTATTATTTTGCCCATCAATATTACAATTACAAAAGTTGAACCGTTCAAAAGATATTATTTTAAAACAAGCCTGTTTTTGATATATAGATTTCAAATTGATACTGTAGATAAGGTATTCTACAGTACCTTCGCAATATACTTATTACCTATAGTTTAAGAAAACTCCTTTCTATCATATCCACTTAATCTGATCGTTGTATTAATAAAAAAAAATCACCAAAATACTTTTCAAAATAATATTTTTTTTTAATAGTGACGTGCTGTAATAGGGCTATAAAGATAAAAATCTACATGCAATCCTAAATATAATGTTGCAAAATAAGAGCAAAAATACTAAATATGAGGAATCATTTTAATTTTTGCTCATAAAAATATATATATTGTTATGGTCAAAATAAATGCTTGCAAATGAGAGTTTCTGTTGTGGTCGCAAAATTACGTGATCGCACATTTATTAAAAACATTAAATGGCAGAGATTCGTAAATAACGTCACATAATTACAATGTCCGATGAGTAAGGAAAATCATACCGAATACATAAAGTGTGAATCACACACAATAACTTAGCTCATAGAGAATATTTTGCACGTACGTAATGTTCCGACAAATTATATCTAGTGTAGATAATTAACCGTGAATTCGAAAAATTGTTTTATTCGTACAAATCGATTGTACAATAGCGGTCATACAGGTTATTGATTCAAGTTTCATAGAAAGGATTTATATTTTTGTTTAATGGAGAATATACCAGCTGTGTAAAGAGAAAGATAACTGTAGACTATATCATTAATATCAATGAACATGTTTAATATCGGTTCCGTCTTCAGAATTTTTGTCTATGTGTTTTGATCCAATGAAAACACGTTAAGCGCTCTTAGTGACTCTTAGCGCCTAATGAAAAGACTCCTGGATGTTTATGACTCTTCCCTTTGAATAGGGTTATCATTAGGTCCAAAAATCCTGAGATCTCAGAATTTGTATATTCTTAGATATGTGCTAATAATTCTCTAATTTCAAAATCTTTTGCAATTTCTTTTAAAGTTATAGCGATTTATGTGACGTTTATAGTCTTTTCTCTTTTAGAACGAATGATGATTTGTAAGAATCATAATAAAAGTTAGCATCCACTATTTCTTAGACAATTTTAATTAACTTCATATTAACATATCGTTCGTTCATTATCTTTCAAAAAACGTCGCGGACGCAATAGCTAACACGTGAATATCTTTCAAATGCTCAATTTTTAAAATTATACAATTAGCCCCCTGTTATATATTTAATATAATTAACTTTGTTGCAGAACATTCAGCTCCATCAACAGTAGGGAGGCGCCAAGCAGCAGCGGTGATGGTGCGCCTTCAGCCAAGGAGGACGGCGACACCATGAACCGGGACAACGTCTCCAACAAAATTGCCGCCGGCATGGACCGGTGGCAAAACACATTCGAGGAAATGATCAATCTACGTTCCTCACACAGCCAGGCATTCAAAGACAACTACTGGGTATGAAACTTGTTAGAGTCCATTTCATAGTAGCGACAAACAAATACGCGACAAACGTTACCGTAATAGAACAATTAAACGACAGTAACTATACATATATAGTACGATTAAGCTCCATGGTGCAGTGGTGAGCGCGCTCAGTCATAAGATCGAATGAGCGCCGCTGCACATGATAGTTGTTTCCCAAGGGTCACGGGATGGGTGACAAAAATTTCTTATCTCGAGGTCCTCCACGCATCGAAAGGCATGTTAAGCTGTTGGTATCATCTGCATCTGCAGTAGTTAATACACACCAATTGGCATTGGGTCCGTATGGTGGGTTGCGGCCCATTCTCTCTATTCGATTTGATTCGATTCCATCCTCATGGAAGGCCTGAGCCTCAGCGGCGGAGATATTATTAAACTGATGATGATGATGATATAATACGACTACACATCTGTTCGACGAACGTTAGCGCACAGAACGTTATAGCGACAAAAACAAGAAACCAGCCCTCCAAAAGGTTGTGGCCATAGGGACTAAGAGGACATCGGTAGCCGATTGAATCGAACGCCACTTTCAAGGTGTAGCCTGTGCACAGGGTTCGATTCCTTACTTTACTACATTGCCTCTAGTCTGTGTGGTGTGGTATCTTCGTTGTTTCTGATTATTTGCGCACTACATGTGCTTTACCTAATAAAAATTTAAATAATTTTTGAATTTTTTGTACTAACTCAGAACGGCGGATCTATGTTAGGAAACTATCAGACCATTATTATACGTGATACTGCGTATCGGTGGGTGTCGCCAACTGTAGATGCATCTGCGGCTAATAATAAACTTAGCTTCCAAACCATGGATGTGTTCGGGAAAGTAAATTTTCGGCCGATAACAGGCCTTAATGTACATATGCTGATTAGCTTCCGCAATCGCAGACCGAGTCGATAACTACTACGCCACATTTATATTTTTTAATAGAATTTCGTTTAATAAAGAATAAGGCAACATTTCAGATATCAATAAACATAGTACAGATTATACTTAAAACCGGCTAAGTGTGAGTCGGACTCGCGATCAAAGGATGCCCCTTAAATATTTGTTATTTTTTGTTTAAGCGGCAATAGAAATACATATTCTGTAAAAATTTCAACTTTCACGGTTCATGAGATATACAGCCTGGTGACAGACAGGGAAGTCTTAGTAATAGGGTTCCCGTTTTACCCTAATAAGTACGTACTAAATAATCATCCGCATAATATTAACTTAATAAACTTAACATTATTATTTGCTAAATATATCTAATTATGTCATACAGTTCGTCGTTGCATTTGTAGCGCAAACAAAATGTAATGATTTTTTTTCTTTATGTATTTCAAACATTAGGTGAAAGATAAGATCGTGATGTAATAAAAAAAATTGTTACCTAGTCATTGTTCTCGCATCCGCGGCGAGAGTGGCGACACGATGCCAGCTAAATACGAATCGAAAGTAAAAATGCTCTCGTAATTCAGTTATTCGACGAAGTTTTTATTTGTATTTCCTAAAAAAAAAATTTCACCGTATTGCATTATTCATAAAAAACTTTAATATTTGATAAATTGTTGGAAAGATTGCTTTTGTACATTGTTCATGCACAGTCACTACTCATTAAATAAAACTAAGTTTAGAAAGAATTAACGTGCGTATATTTGATTTTATTTTTAGAGTTTTCTGATCCTTTACTAGATACGTGTTTGCTCATTTTTAACAGATTTTAACGGTTCATTTCTTCGACGGCGATGTATGTTCAATGATATTCCTACCAATTGTTGATCAATTTTTATTTTTTTTTGTTCGAGAGCTTAATGAACCGATGTGGTCCCATTTAATTTTATCGAAATCGAAACAGTAGTTTCATTTTATAACAAAACAAGTATTCTTTTTATCAGATATCACCTTAATATTTTGATGACATATTTTGATAAATGACATCAGCCAATAAACAAAAGATTGCATATTTTGCATTCTTTCAAAATCCGAAAGGAGGATTTTCTATGTTCAACGGGTATGTATCTTTTTTATGTAAGTAGGTATGTTACTAGTAAACTAGCTGTTTCCCCGCGACTTCGCCTGCGTAAAATTATAACCTACATATGTCCCCTGCGCATTATGTAGCTGAAAAAACATAATCGGTTCAATAGTTTGTACATGACTTTTTTGTTACACAAATGGGTACGAGTATTTTGACTTTATGACACTTCCCTTTACATTTTCAAAATACAAATAACAAGATATATAAATGAAATCGAAAACTGTTGAGGATTTGAAAGGCAAAAAATACTAAATACGGTGGGTGCGATCAATGATTAGCATTGTTTACGAACTGATACGAGGTCTTCACTGTTAAAATCTAAAAAACTTCCTCATTATTCTCTGACCAGCTTTTCAAATATTCCTAACCTTTAATCTTATAAAATCAGTTTCAGACTGACAGACAGAATTAAATGAATCTATACATTTTAGCTGGAATATTGAGTTTAAAATTATAAATGACAAAGTTTACAAAATATTTTGTGTATTTGGTAACTCTTGAATAAAATATTTAAAACTTTGGCATTGATTTTAATTAACTTTTGTTCTATTTAGTGTTTTCTTATTATTTCAAGTAACAGTGTAAGTTTTTCCAAATTCACATTTTTCGGACAGTTTTTTGCAAATTACAAAAAAAGTATTCGTAATTAATGTGTAACTTTATAAAAAACTAAATATATTAATTGGTATATGGTGTCAAATGCTATTTTGTATATATTAAAACTAAGTGTAATATGACAAAAAATCCTATCCTATTTAAAAAAAAACACTATAATTATCAATAAATATTCTCAGGGTATATATAATATGCTTCGTTTTGAAATAAAATCTTCCAGTAAAAATTAGTAGGTAGCAGTAAGCATGATTAATATTTTGCCAAAATAACTCAAAAACTATTAATGACACGCAAAATTTTGTAGAGCTTATGTATGTCTGAATTTTTTTTTATACCTATTTGCTTTTCTGCACGTTAAAACTTAAGTATGATATTTCAAATCTTTCAAAGTTCGCGCATGTTTGGAAAAGTTATTTTTTTAAGATATTTTAGCTCAGACACTCCAAATAAACGCTGAAAATAAGAAAATCTTTTCTCATTAGTATAAGGACTTGATAGTTTGATTAAATAAAATGGTAATTAAGGCAGTACCTTGGTTTTATAATCGCTAATTTTTGACTGACATTCTCTGACCACCTAGTGCTTCCCTGACTTTTTCCCTGACTGTCCTTGAATTCCAAGTATGTATGTGCCTATAGATAACAGTCTAAATAAAAAAGCGGTATAGCTTTGCCACACATAAAGTATTGAGAGAACAACGACAGGCTAACTCACTATTTGATTTGATATTAAATTGCACAGTTTTTCAGAGACATTTGTGGCATAAGGTTATGCAAATCGTGAGATGTCACCAGGTTACCGTAACAGTTTGTCGAAAGCCTGTTTTAGGGTCTGATAACCTTAATCAATCAGTATATCTCCACTGTGGTTCCTTCCGTCTCTTTTGATTTGTTTTATATAAAATTATTTAATTAAAATTTTCAAGCAATTACATTATATACCGAATCAATCATTTAAATAAAAATAAATAAATCTTATTAAATTAACGTGGCGCATACGCTGATTTATCGCGTGATTCTATCAAACCTACTTTACTATTTTTCTATAAATATACTATATTTTTTGTATTATAACTCTCCAAATCGTACGAAAGTAACTATACAATAAATAACAAATACTTATTAGTTTTTGTAACAAAGAAATTATCTTATTTGTATTAGTTGTAAAAGTCGCATAGGTTGTTTTGGAGTTTTATAAATAATAGATTTTTTTAAACTTTCTGTACGTGACTATGAAATAATGATAAAATCAATAGATTATTCTTTTAATTTGAATCTCTTTTCTACTTCTGGATATACAAAACTTTCCCAATCACAAAAATATATAGGCGAGTCCCTAAAGACCCAAATCGTAAAAATACCAAATTCTAGAATACCATTACTCAGCACACTGTTAAAAATATATGCATTAGGATATTCGCGTTTTATAAGTATTACCTAACATAGTTGTAAAGTATGTATGACGCTATTGAATATTTTTTAGATTTACCTAATTAGTTCGTAGAGTTTTAGATCTCCGTGTAAAATATAGTTACTGAATTGATAAAATTCTATAATGAAAAGTGTAGCATCATGTAAAATAAATTTTAGTAGCCATTTTGTCAATGTGCTTTAGCACATTTTTATTGTAATAGCACTCACACTTCCCGAGCGGAAGCGCTTGCGCACCACACCATCGCCATTCAACTCAGGCGTGTATAATTTGTAATCGACAGAACTGCCATCACTGTGCCAACCAATTCGAAAGCTTATCCCTTAACAGCAATGATTCCTTTTCCATTACAGTGAAAGTTACGTCTATAAAGAAAGTTTACTATTTGTACTTAGGCATAATATATTTATTAATGGCATAATTTAATCTATTGAATACCGTTGCAGTCAATGTCGTGACTTGAAGATAAAGAGCGATTTGTCACTCATAGTTACGTGTAAACTTTACTATCAATGAAACTTGCTTGGACCACAATTGCTATTGGTGATTGGTTATTGTTTTTTTTAGATACACGTCTTAATGTAGTGTTTTTAGATTAAGCACATTTCGTGTTCTTAGGTTTTTTGAAATGTTTTCTATACGGTTAACGACGCCTCTCGAATGCTATAAAAATTTAATTACTGTAAGGACCTTGTGTTGAGAAACTAAGTATAACTTCTTACAATGTTTCAAAAGATGATTTTATAAACGATTGTATATACATATTTATTTTGTATCGTTATTTTTTTTTATCATCAGTCCAAAAATATTTTCTTTGTAATATGAAGTTGAATACATTTTGTGACTTACCTGATTCCCAGACGTTTGCAATTTTTTTTTATATGAGAAAGACAAAAAAAGTGGGGGGCAGTGTAGCGTAAACATTTTTTCCGAAATTTCACTTTGCACCTTTGTCGGCGTAATTAACATGTATACTTACTTATGCCAAATTACAACTTTATAGTACCAAGAGTTTTTGAGTTAAAACGCGGATAATGGATGGACGGACAGACGGACATGGCAAAACTATAAGGGTTCCTTTTTACTATGGAACCCAAAAAGACGGAATCTAACACTCTTGTCTATAGTCGATTGGAAGTAATTACCTACTTGAGTCTATACTAAGCAATTATTTGAGAACATACTTTTATTCAATAGACGAGAGTTTTATTGTAGTAAGAACTATTAACAGCTAATAATAATAGTATTACAACTATAGATTTCCTACTTTATTCGAATTCTTGTAACAATATCTGAAGTTATGACATATTCTCAAATAGTTACTTCTCTTGACTCTTGATAGATACGAGTGTAAGTAAAGTAAAAAAAGTACACGTAACATAAAGATGTTATAACTGAATTATACCTACCTCAGAATCACTAACACTACACTATAAACAGTAAGATAGTATTTCTAGGCCTGTCACGAGTAAAAAAAGAGACAATAGGCATTTACTTTAGAAATATATTACTTGAAAAATCGAATTATCAGAAACCTAGAGTAGGTGTAGGCAGGTTTGTGTTAGAGCACTCATCCATTGGCAAATAGTCGCCTTATTACTGAGATAGTTGTTTATTCAAATGTGTTTAAAGATATGTAATAGGATAGTGAAAACGCTCTGTCGTCTGTATAAGCTATGCTGAAGACGTAGGTTAAATTTATTTGTAAGATGAATTTTGAAAACAATCTTAACTGTCAATTCAATTCGTGTATTTTTCCATTGCCTACTACTTGTTATCACAAAGTTAACCACATTCAAATTGCTAATATAGTCGTAGTAACTGTTACCTATGTGTTTTGTAATTGATTTTTATCAGAGCACCAATTCTATAATGACTTTGAAAGTAAACTAAAAACGTTCTAAGTATATAGGTAATAAAGTTAGAATTAGTCCAGGAAACAATGAAGAATATCGTGATTTTCCCAATTAGCGAACTGAGTCCCTGAACTTGAAGCAGATTTGCGTAGCAATTAATACCTAATAATAAAGTGCCAATGTTAAAAGTATGATGTGTTTTGCTGTTTATAACCAAAAAAATGGGAAATATTTTGAAAGTCTAATATTTTTTAATACTGCAATTTTACTATTATTTACCCTCGTTACCAATTTATCAATTATTGGACATTCGATTGTTCAAAAAGCATCGAGTGTCGCAAACAGATTATGTTAAAAAAATGCTCTCAACTATTTGGTCCATACCAGACTAGCTTAATCGCCATACCGTATCATTTAATCGATAAATAAATATTAGACAACATCACATATATTGCAGAATTAAATAGTTAAATAAAGCACTTGTATTAATGGATGTGTGCACGAGCGTCCTCAACCTTGACAGCTTAGACGCTTTGAAATTAAATGTGTTATTTTAGACTCTATTACTTTATATTAAATACTAACTACTACGAAACTATAATTTGGGTGAACAGACGGTTGTAAAATTATTTTTAATCATTGAAAAAATGAATGAGGTAACAAAATTTTATTTAAAAAATTTTGGTTAGGTACCTATGTCAGAATTTGTTTGCAATTTTACTGTAAATAATAAAAAAAAACGACGTTTTCGTTAAATAATAGTAAACTTATACAAATATTCCTGTGTCATTACATTAGTAATAAATGAATATGTATGTGTGTATCACTTACAATATAAAATAAAAGCATTGATAAATTGTAATACCTATATTTTTTTTAATAGGTAATAAATCTCCTTTGGAACTTGAGTTTTTATTTTAATATTGATTGCAGCTGAATACAGCACGACTAAATTACTCAAGTGATAAAACCAAACACTATTTTTAGTCATTGTATTTTGAGAATACTTGTAGAAGTAATGATAATAATGACAAAAGTAATCAGTCAGAATGTTATTTTACTTAAAATATGTGTCATGTGATGTTGGTTTGATAAAAATATATTATCTATAAGAAAATTTACAATTATATTTCAGCACAGTTTATTTATTGTTTTATAGTTTCCTATACAAATTATGATTTAGATTTAACTTAAAATTGAAATCATGATTAATAAACAGTTTTCATATTAATTCCTCGGAAAGAAATACAAGAACGTAAGAAATACATATGGTATAACAGATGACAAAGTTGTGACCTTTGTCATCTATCTGTCATAGCATACTGTGTATTATATGTACTTGTTTTTACTTTTGCGCGATAGCCTAGTACTTTGCATCCAGCGAATAGAAATCTAAAACAACGATGGTACCTACGACAACACCCTGATGTCTTGCGAATTGAATTATTGAGGAGAGAATTTCTTTTTTATGATAAGACTATGGTTTGAAAATATAAATCCATTATAGGAAATGTAGAAAATCCGGAATTTTAAGAAACATGGTCGTGCAAAATCTCGTATTTGTAGTCTTTATTGTCTCTGCATCTGTATACAGGGGCGTATTTTAAGATTGCGCGCTCCGGGCTCCTGTAGCTTTCCGCCCCATCAAGGAATGAAAGGAAACAAAAAAAAATTATCGATTTTATATTTTACATTTTTTTTCTGTGGACAAAATTTTTAACAAATTCGTTTATTACATCGTCATAATCAATTTTATTTGTTAAATCGGCTTCGATGTTCAAAATTGCCAAATTATTAAGCCGTTCTTCGATAAGACGCGATCTTAAACAGTTTTTTATCAGTTTGAGTACCGAAAATGAGCGTTCTGCACTACAATTCGTTACTGCAGTACAAAGCGCAACGCAATTTCAATGTAAGGAAACGCCACTTTCAGATCCTTTTTATTAATTAATAAGTTTAGTTCGCGTAAACTTGTTTTAGTTTCTTGTCCCTGAGACGGCAAAAAATTCTTTAATAGTATGCATTCATCCTTTAAATCATCCGCAAGATCAGTAGGATAAGACTTTTGGAGTGATAATGCGTTCAATTTAATTTCCGCCTCAGATAGTGCACTTAAATTGGATAGAAATACAAATTTGGCGGTTACAGCGTCATAGGATGTTTTACGCCTCCTTAACTCGCCCAACAGTTGGTCACATATTGGCAAAAAAGTATTCACTTTAAAATAGTCCCGTCCTTGTAAAATTACTTCTCCTTCGAGTTGCTCATCGTCTCGTTTTTTTCTTTTTGTTATCCTTTCCGGCTATCTTTGTAATCTTCAGTACACTTTTCTTTTCCAGCTTTTTCAAATGCATCGAATAATTCGCGTAATTAATTTCGAATTTCTCCAGACATGAAATCCACGCACATCACAAGGGGCGGCTTTCATACTTTAATTGAATTTCAAATTTCTTCAGACATTAAATCAACATGTGGAAAGGTGGCTCACGGGCGTTCTAGGCTTAAGTCTGAAAATATTTTTTGTATTTTTTCAAACGTCCAAACCAAAGCCCTAGCCCTGGGCCGCCCCTCGCGGCCTGCCGCCCCGGGCTATAGCCCTTCTGGCCCTAGGGTAAATACACCCCTGTCTGTATACAATGGTGGTTTGATTATACTTATTAGATAACGGAACTCTCATTGTGGTGTAACTATTGGTTATACCAGTAATAGACTATTTAAGGATTGCAATCAGATATTAATTATTATTAGTAACGAGTCTTCATTTTATCTCAGTAACAATATAAAAAAAAACATTATCTTAGAAAAATATAAAACACTAGCTGTTTTCCTACGACTTCGACCGGGTAAATTATAGCCTATGTCATTTGCGTATTATTTAGCTTCCAATAAGTGAAAATAGAACCAATAGTTTCAGAGCAATATTTTCTCAATGCAAACAAACAAAAAATTAGTAGAATACACAAGGGCAAAATCAGCCTTCAAGTTAAAAGAATTCCACTCAAGATGGAGTAATTTAATGATATGAGTACCTATCAAATAAAAGATGTTGCGTTTTTTCCAGGTTTAAATAAATAAAATAATAATGAATTAAACTTTAAGGGAAAATGTTTTTCACTGTTTTATTTATTGTTATTTTAATATTTAGATACTTTACCATCACAGAACTGATTAATATCCCCCGATACTTTTTTTACGAAGAAAATAAATACCAAAAAATTAAATAAAACCCTTTTCTGCTTTTTCAGGCACAAAACGCGTTCGATGAACTTAGGCGCTATGTGAAACAAGGTAGCGATTTCAGCAAGGAACTCGCCGCAATATTACAAGAGAGGTAGATAACTTTTTCTTCATAAAATCCACTCTTAGATTTTAAAGCATATAAAAACTATCGCTTGACTTGACGTGAAGTCGTAGATATGTATGAACGTACATACCTCGTCATTCGCATAAAGTGTCCATTTGTCATTCAACAGTAACATTAACATGTTTTTCATGTTGAATATTATTTCCAGGAAAATGTAAATAACTTCTCAGTGAAACTCAAGTAGATAAAGTAATATATTAAGTATACATACCTAACCATAGATCGTCAATCAACCATTCTATGTAGTTTTACTAAAATAGATGCAAGTATTCAATTGTGATTTCTTTGCTCGTTTTTTATTAGTTTTTAATCAGATGCTAAATCTTATTTCTCTCATTTTATATAGCGGTTATGCGTAGGTAATACTTCACGCTCAACTGGCCTAGCTTTGAAAGCAATCATGCACGCACAGATGGCAATGTTATCGACATTTCTCTGCACATTTACTTTCCACCGGCATCGCATCTAAACAATACATTATTGTTCACAAACGTCAATTACTCTCACTATGACATTAGCAATCCTGCGTGCGTAAGAAGAAACAAATCAAGATTACATTCATTGTGATCTCTGTAATACTTCCACGATGCATAATAATCATTTGGCAGTTAAATTATTCACACATAATAACATTCTTAAGAAGTAAGGGCACGGCAATGGCCACAAATCCGAAATAGCTGTTTCAAGGCGGCCGCCAAGTGGGCCAAGCCAACAAGACGAGTACATAAATACAACGTTCGTTCTACAAATCTATCTGTTACCATTTGCCGAGACGGTAATATCTCTCGCTTTTACACAACCGCAAAAGATAGCGGCGACATAGAAACAAATCCACGCCGCGTCGTGACGCCACCGACGATTATTTCTTATATTTACTTCCGTAGCGGATTGTGAAATAGCTCCGACTATATATTCCATTTTTTTTTATAGGGTCGAAGCAGAAAATTACTATTCGAAATGCTTGGCCAAGCTCGGTACGAAACTCAGCAAGGCTTGCAAGGAGAGCGTCGGTTCTTGCGCAGAAGCATGGAAACATGTCGCTTTGGAAATGGAAAAACGATCGGAAATCCATAGGTACATAATTAAGAAATAATTCATCATTTTGATTGTTAATATTCTTAACTGTTTATATTTTTCATAGTTCTTGTGATGTGATAGGTAATTAAAGTTTCTTATAAAGAAAATTTTACCGTTTCAGAAATTATTCCAATTCTCTGGCGGATGAGTTAGTAAAACCAATGAAGCACGTCGCGGACAATCAGTTGAAACTGAGAAAAAAGGTGAGATATAAAATATACGTACAGTTTAATTTCTGAAAAAGTAAAATAGTAAGGGTATTTATTTCTATCGAATTTGAAAAACATCACCTAATCTTTTTATTATCGTTCATAAATTATTTGAAAAAAGAAACATTCTTCTCTAGCCTGGGACCTGAAACAAAAGTATTATCTTAAGATTTCATTAAGAATAATATTTGTTTTTATTCATTTTAGATTGAAGGTAATGTTGATAAAACGACGCGGACCCTCACGGAGTGGAGAACTGCTGAAGCGAAATCAAAGAAACAGTCCCATACGGCTGCAAGAGAAAATGAAAAGCTACAAGACGCATCTCTGGAGATGAGGTCTGCCTACATAATGGTGTCATTGACGAAACAAATGACCATTTTCATTATTGCATCGTAAATTACTCTGGGCATTTATTTCGATCAAGTTGAGAAGGATCCTTCATGCTGTGCGAGTTTTGCTTTGCGTTGTTGTAATGCTTACGCGAATATATCTATTGCGATGAATTTGGAACCCTTGTGAAAATGTCTCTACTATTTGTTTGCAGTCGTATATCCCGTAGTTCAAGCGTTGGCCACATTCCCCACTCAATTTTGAGTACTGCTCGTGCCGAGAGGCATGCAAATGCTTCCAGTGAAAAGGACGCGGCGAAGCTACAAGTGAAAAAGAGGAAGACAGAAGATGCAGTGAAAAAGACTGAAGTTGAATATTATAATGTTTGCGTGCATGCTGAACGCTCTAGGTAAGCATTAATAGTATTTTGTAACTTAATCTTGATCATAAGTTTCTAGATACAAAGAACAAATATTGTGACTTTTGGAGATATTTTTCATATACAGTAAGAGAAAATACAGTAGTTTAACGTACCGACAGCATAGTTTTTCGAATACCTTACATGCAATACAACAGATTAGCTTCGATTAACAATACAAAGATCGAAGCAGATTAGACAGAAACAATATTGAATGTAATTGTGATTGAGAAGTTTTTTTTTGTATTGGGAAGTGTAAAGTCTTATTCTGTTAATATTACAGCGTCGAGCACAACGTTCACAGATCTTTAGAGGTTCAATCATATAAAACCTAGGTATTTCAAAAGGTAAAGGCTTTATTTCATTGAAGCTCTAAAGCTGCGTCAGTGCTGTGTGTGACGGTGTATTTTGAGCAGAATAGCAAAGCTACGAAAGACAGCATCTGACAGCATTGCCCAAATACACGGACTAATCTTAATATATTACATGTAAAAATTAATTTAATTACTTGACATTGGCGAAATGCGCAAATAAGCCATTAATAAAATAAGAAGAAGACTAATCTTAAACTTGATGTATATCGAATATGTTTAAACAATATAATGACAATAACGGTTACATACTCTCATATATTAAACAGGTTAGAATGGGAATCAAGTGTTGTAAAAGGCGCTGGTATGCTGGAGTCTCTTGAGGAGGAAAGGCTAGCTCAGCTTAAGACATCTGCTGATTGCTACTTAAGACTTACTGCTGCGGTGGCACCCCAACTAGCAGAAGTACGTAATTTTTAATAACCGCATTACTGATAACTCTATTTCTGCTCCTTTTATGAGTCTATGTGAGTCTCGCAAAGTATAGATATCCTGAACGCCTCATATGCAGTTTGTTTTATTTTTCAATATGGACCCACTCTTTTTAGGAATCCGTTTTTTACACTTTAGAAGGATCCATTTTTGAAGGACTTAACAATTTCCTTATGTTACAAAGACGTTTCCAATCAGAGTATTTTGTTGCAGTCTACTAATACATTAGTGGGCCCCATAAAGAATGCGAATGCTAATGTAGACATGCGAGTTGTGCGCGGCGTCCGCTCGGTGCCAGCTGGCGCCAGTGAGCAACTTCTGCCGGACTTCTACTGTGAACACACGACACTCGCTATGAATAGAGAACGACGTAAACAGGTGAAGCCTATATTTCTTTTTACATTTATCCTAAGAAGATGTTAAATATGTATCAGTTAAGCAACTTTTTTAAAGTTAAGCAAAGTCCTGTCATCGGATGGGTGACCAATGTCTTTATTGACTGATTTAATCTTCAGGGACTACTTTTCATAAAATTAAGGAGCACTATGTATATATATATAATTAGTAAGGGATGTATGATGTTTGAGCCTGGCACACGTTATCGACTTTTTTCATCGCCCTATCTTTTTCTGTCGCTCAGAACCACCTATTGCTAGAACGAGAAAAATAGTATTTTCCCTATCACCTCGAAGATTTCGCTGCGTGCTATCGCACACCAACTATTTTTCTCGCTCCAGCAAATGACAGGTCTGAGTCACAGAAAAGAACAGTACGACGAAAAAAGAAGTCGACGAGAAAACGTAGGCTCGTAGCACATAAATATAAGCAACTAGAATGAATACTAGTCCATAGTCCTACTTAACTTCTTATAGAGAACTGATAAATATATGCTTACTATTATTGTTTTAGGCACTTTTGAAAATCCTTCAATTGGTAAAACAAGACATAGATCGTGAACGCAAATCAAAACAAGGATTAGAAAAACTCTCTATGGCCATGAAACAAACACCGACCTTCGGCAACGACGACTCTCAACAAAATGTTGCTGACAAACTTTATCACGTGCGTATTAACATTTTGTAACAATAAACAACTTAAGATTTCATTTACTACCTCTTACTGGTCAATTAATATTCAAGTTGATAAGTTTTGCATTCACAATGATAATATTTGACTATAACTACTTAATGTCTCAAATAGCAAATTTCTTCTTCTGTTCAAACATGATTCAAACCATTTACAATCCGAACTTTAGTACCGTTGAACGAGTTAATATTCTATCATCAACCTCTTTCAACCCACGATCTAACATTATATATTACTAGCGGCCAGCCACAACTTTGCGTGGATTCCTAAAGTTTTTTTAATCGTTTTCAAAACTTAGTCTAAAATCAAAATCTTCGATCGCTAAATGTGTAGTGACAGTTTTTATAGATAATCACATAAGGATTTTTTTTTTCAATTTCTTTTGGATTTTTTTACCCCATTTTCGCAACATTCGAACTTGAATTTGTTTGCACACGTCCGATCGATGGGGACTTTGACAAATTGTTTTCAATAGTGTTACATGGCAATTTTCAGCGTTGTGCAAATTAATGTAACATTACCCTATTTTTGAAGTTTATTTGACTGGGATATTTAATTTGACTAATTCATTTAATTCCTGTTATTTTCAGGTAAGATCAATGTTAACGTATCTAGAAGCAATAAGGTATAAAATAACATCAAGTCTGAATGAGCTGGATAGTAGGCCATCGGTACAGCATCCACTCTCAACACACATACAAATTGTTAGAGATAAACAGGGCCTACAGCAAAGTATATTAAAGGTAAGGCGACTACCGTCATCTAAAAAAATATATTTAGCACTCGCAATATAAACTGACCAAAAGGCACAGATGACTTAAAAAAACCTTTTGTATCTACTAAAATATCAAACACAGACCATTGAAATAAGTTGTAGAAGAAAAAAACATAATGCAGAAAGCTGAACTCTTTTCAATTGTTTTTACCATCTATATAAATAAAAATGAATCGCCGAAATGTATGTACGCACATAACTTCGGAACTACTGCACCAAATAGGATGATTCTTGTTATATTTTCCTTATTATTAATAAGAACATTTATAAAAAAAGTAATACCTAATATAAGTATCAGAACTAATGTATAGTCTAATAGGTACAAAATGACAGATCTTTGATGAAACCATCGACGTTTGCCAGATTGTCAGTACTAGAGAAATAAAATATGGCGGTAGGAAGTTCGCCGGGTCAGCTAGTTTATAATAAATATACCTCGCATACTTTGTGAGATTCGAAGTTTTTCTAAATGACAAAAGTTTTTATAGTTGCAAATCTATTTTTTATTTTGCTTAGGTACCGCCATGGCTTCAAGCAGATTACCAGAATGAAGTGAACAAAAATTTACAACCAAATTACACAGCGTTATCGAAAAGCGTGACCGGGGGCGAAGAGAGGGAGCGTCGGGACTCTATAATGAGTCGGGCATCTTCTAAACTACGCATCGAGCACTTGTCATTTCGACGTAACACTGAGAATAAGAGCGCGCCGGTGACGCCTGTTTGCGTTGAGGTGCCGCCGCCGCCGAAACCGCCGACTCCAGAGTCTGCGCCGCCGGAAAGTCCGCTCGATTGGAGCGAACGTGGCGCGGGCGATGGTTTATCCAATCAACACGACAGTGACTTTGGTGAGATTAAATTATATGTAATCACTTAATAATCAGTACTGGCACCAATTAAATCAATATGTAATTTCAGTCTACTACTATAAAATACCCAATGTGTCGAATCCAATTATATTTACATATCAATAAATAATTAAAGTAGTGAATTAACTTCTCTCCTGTAAGGTATTTGTGTCGTTGAAATGATAATGTGAATGTAAACAGAATGGCTTGATATTGAAATTATAAACCTATTATAGTGTAAATTAAGCTTTTGATGTCGCTGGCCTTAGATGAGCGTTCTTATCGACACTCGACACACTATAAAATGTTACCGTGTCAATTTTAAGTGGACACATCCTACAACCATAAATAAATGATTCTATTAATTCTAGATGAGTTTTCGTCGCAGAGCGACAGTTCAACAGATCTGACAGACATTATGAAAGTAGAGGAGAATGGCGACGCCACTGCTACCTCACAGGCTATCGGCAAATGCCGCGCCCTGTACACCTACGAGGCTAGACTCAACGACGAGCTCAACCTGACACCAGGTATATAACGAAGCCCGAACCAGCTATAATACTCATTTATTTTATCTTTCTATGACCTTTACTTGAACTGCTTGAACTTGAACTGACCTTGAACTGCCCGCTCTTGGCTTAATAGTGTATCTGAATTGCACGACATTATGTTATGTACAGTCAATCAGATTATATACAACTAATTTTTGTTCCTGTTAATTTCAAAATCAATTGGGGTAATTTGACATTTTGTAGTAATCTGACGTGCAACCGTGTACATTGCAATTCTTTATCATGCCACTGTAACAAGGACATGATCTTGAAAACTCAGGATTTTTAAGTATGAAACTGACAACACATGTGCAACGTATTGCAAGTCAACCACAAAATGGAAAATATCGTAAATTGATTTAATGAATTGCCTTGCGAATGTCTTCATTGTTTTATGGGAATGCATTTACGATGAGCGATTATATTACTTTATCTAAGTAAAAAATACTTATTTTCTCTTCCAGGAGACATAATTAATATATTCGATAAGCAGGATGATGGCTGGTGGTCTGGAGACCTGAATGGCTGCTACGGAATATTCCCATCGTCTTATGTTGAAGAAATCACAACTTGTATATAATAAAACTACAAATAATAGCAATAACACATTTCTTAGAAGCCATTATACTTTATGAAATGCAATCTTTTTTATAATCCTCATCTCAAACTTTCGTTGCTTTCTATGGAGCCTAGAACTTGTTCTAGACACTTGTGTCATTCCGAACTTGGGGAACTGTAGACGCAATACATTGAAATAAAATCGCACACTTATGGAGGTTTGAAAATTTAATTTGCGAGCGTCATCTCTACTAGTAGTGTAATATCACTTAAGCGATCAAAAGCAGCATAAGTAGGATCCAATCAAAGGATCGAAGTCTCCAAGCCTCTGTAGTAGCAATTTATGATAGCTCATTATAGGGATTTCAATAATGCGTCCATCACCCCAACGATAGTCTAAATAATACTTCTAGCTAGGGGATAGTAAATACCGTACCTTATTTCTCTTCCTCCGAAAGTGAAAGTCCTAAATGAAAATGTGAATATATAAAAGCTCCAAAGAGTTGCCTACTTCATAATTAAAATTGATGCTAGTAAGTGAATGCAAGCTAGCTCCTCACTTGGAGACTAAAAAGTCATAGGTTATATGACTTGAAATATTCATAAGCGCTCTTTACTTAAGTAATATTATTATCTATTATAAAATTGTTTGATGAAATCACATATATTAGTAGAAAATCGATACTGAAATAGTGATTCAAATAAAGAATATATGTAACAATATAATCAACATCACAATATTGCTCAAATAATTATTGATTATCTATCATAAACGCCCAAATCCGAAACGACTCTTAAAAGTAGATAGAGCTTACAGTAATATCTACCAGATGTACAGCCCCGAATTCTTACTAGAAAAGAGACAGTTCGAGACTGTTTTTATAACAAAACAGCTCTGCAGCGCTATCATGGCTTGAAACTGTAATGAAATACCATAGTGTAGATCTGGTCGTACTACGTTTTATAGACCTTTCCTTTAGATTTAAAAATTACTCTCTATCAATGATATTCAATTTCTTTTCGCACCTAAGTTATTATTGTATTTCTTATGATAATAAATACATTTCAGTAAATAATTAATTATGATTGATATTTTGAGGCATTATTTCGAGTAGTGCACAATCATTATTGATATTTACTATTACTTTTGGCGATTTCATCTCATTTACTCTTCCACTGCTTATCCACATAATCGCCACTTTTATTTCGACTTCGAGATTTATAAAAAAATTTTTATCAAAATGTTGATAATTATTGATACTCTAAAATCACTTATCGATATTCATCACATAAATTCAATATATTTAACGAGTATATTATTGTAATTTCTTTCACTTTGAAAGGCTGTTTATAATAATTTGATAACTGTTAAAACTTAGGAACAAGGATTTTGATCCTAAGTTAAATAATACGAAAATGCACAATTAAATCTATTTATGCTCGATGTAGACAAATGAATAACTATTATTATTATTATATAGAATTATACATTGATTAATTACTTATAAGATCGTCAATAAAGAGCACTCGTAAATATATTTTGAACAAAACTTTTGTTCACATGTGTACTATTTTTGTAATTAATTATTTTATAACACTAAAAGAATTGTAAATTATTATTATTATAATACCTACGCGTAAAGAATAAACCAAAGCGTTGTTTAATGTTGATTAAATGTTTAATATCAATATTGGTTTTATTTATTGCAACTATTTAATTGTAAAAGCTCGTAACTACCAGCAAAGTGACTTTGCAGACAACAGACGGCGTTAGATTATAATTTGATAACCTTAAATATATCTGGATCACATCCGTATCATGATTTCTACATTTGGGTTATTTACACTATTTAGTAGGTACACTGTTTATAATATGTATATAAAGTATAAAGGATATTATGTTTCATCCGAAACCTGTATCGGATCTCGTGCGAGTGCATACGTGTTTAAATTCTCTGGCCCTCATACAAACGTGTGTAAATCACACAGCAGCTGTCATTGTCTATGCCTACGTCACTCCCATAAAGACGGCACGCATCACACTTCGGCGGACACTTCAGTGTATCTTCATACGTTTATAATATCAAAGTTTTCAATTTTGAACTTATCAATCAATCCATTAAGTGTTAAAGTAAATCGATTAGAAAAACTGATTTTTCGTAATTTATTTTTCTGTTGACTTACTTATGCATAGGTATATATTTTTAAGGCTGCTACACACGGAGCCGGCATGGCCTGACCGGTATAGCCAGTTATTGGTCGGTCTCATGCGCAGGCTCTAATTTATAAATATGTTAAGATGAACTGTCATCAATAAACAATGTAACTTAGCTAGAATATAGGGTCAATAAATTATATAATTGCTAATACAAAAAGCAACGTTTGGGATGACAACAAATTGTTTATTAAAATAATGTTCTTAAATTACAGTATTGGCAAGAAAGGACCATAGTCCAAAAATATCTAATACTAATTCCATGTTATACACATTATATCTATTATTTTTATTATTATCTCCGACATAGTACATTAAACCTGCTGATCAATCTTAGATTAAATACATATTTTTATACACAAAGTGACAGTGAGGTCAAAAAATTGACACATTTACTTAAAGAGTATCTGTTAGTGTCGTTGTTTGTTCGTGTACGGCCTGATTACAACGTTCAATTACAGATTTAGAACCAACTTAGGTAATTAAGTCTTAATGACTCATAATTTTAAACCACTTAAGATATCATTGAGTACTTCCTAAGTAACAATTTTTTATTATAAAAGTTACTAATAGTAATATAGATTAATAAAAAACAATATACTCTAATGACGTTTAGGTACGTATATCAATTATACATACTACTTGTAATATAGGTATATTTTTCATTGTTTTCAGAGTTTAAGTCTTTCTTTACTATGCTTGTATTCGCAGAAAATTGGGACATTCGCTACTATAATGATTAGGTTTCCCATTACGGACATGAGTTTGGACAGTGCGATACAATACTTATTGAGACATTGTTTCTATGTTACCACTATAATTTAACGTCTTCAGTGCTTACACAGAAGAGATGCGCGACTCGAAAATATAGATATTTATAGACTACTCGAGATAGTGGAGCTTTTTTTTATTTCTTGAGTTTTATCTTTTTATTGTATTCACAACGTCCAACGTAGTGCATAGTGCAGTATTAGAGGTATAATAAAATAAAAACGTTTTATACGATTGAAATACTGAAATAGCCGACTGCCGGCCGACACGGCCCCAATAGAAGTACTGAGTTTGTCAACACTGTTTTTCATTAATTAACTTTGTCGTTTTAGCCCGATAGGATAGAAGTCAGTTACGAATAGGTGTCGTTATTACTAATAAGTTTCCTGTGACTGCATAATACGTATAGTAACGGCATTAAATATTCTAATCGGACTATTATAGTCAATATAAGAACGCCCAACGGCAAACCTGTTATCAAAGTGACCTAGTCTAGCCTAGCGTACTAGTCGGTGAAGTAGATTGAAAACTAATGAGTCTACTAAAATTGTATTACAAAATCAGACATCATGTAAATAATTTGTACATACAATAAAGCCAAAGTTACTTTCAGACAGCTTATATATCTAGGATCTAATCAGAATGCGTCAATACTTCATAACTAATACGTCTTAATATGTTTTAAACATTTTTCGTTTGCGAAGGTCCGTTAAAATAAGTCTTATTTTTTATTTTTTTTGAGAAATCATCGTCTTGATTTAGGACATTAAAACAACCTGCCAAAAACACTTTTGTAAATGCAACCTTATCCTTTGTTTTTAAGACTTAGTCCCTATGACCACTCGTTACCGCACGCATACCACCATTGCACAGTAAAAGAATCATATTATTAATATAAACTACACAGTGTTGCCAACATTAGACTACGTGACATAAACTTAGACTAAGGGCGGGTGTATATTTAAAAGGGATACCTTATTATTGAGATACGTTGATAACTTACGATTTTTATGTTTTTACTATGATTAAGAGAAATTAATATATTATATACTAAAGCAAAAATTGCAAAAAAAGAAATATTTTCTTGACGTAAGATGGCAATATGTTTAAGCGGCATTTAGAGACGGTTGAAAATTCAGTACCATAAGTATTCGAGAATATGAAAATAACACGTTTATAGTAAATTATTATCACTGTATTTGGGCAAAATTAACTGAATGTGACTATAACTACGCTAAAACTTTACAACTGGGAAATACTAGTTTATAACAAATTTAGTAGATATTAGATTTAGGAGGTAATTAATTAAAACAAATCAAATAACCAAGGGAAAAGGTTCATATAATAAAACAAATAATGTAAACTGCATGCGTTCAATAAAATAATAATACACTCATTTAACATTAAATAAAATAACAATATGATAAAATAAAATGATAATAAAAACGAGTAGGAAAATATTTAAATTTTTCTGCATAAGCGCTAACATCTGTAAATGCTTTAAAGCGATGCATAAGACTAAAATATTCAAAAATAATAATTTGCATTGATACATTATAACGTATTAAAACTTTTATAAATATGACTGTTATTTATTCATAGGATTATCCATATGCTAAGAAAAGTGATCTTTAAATGACAAAAAAAAATATATTTCCTTTGATATTTCTCAGCTTAACCACCACAGGTTGATTCAACGAAACAGGATGACTTAGTGTTGTGCATTTAGTAATACAATAAAAATGTATTTTATTCATCAATGCGGTTTTTTCATCACTTACCGATAGCCCTGTTTCGATATGGCTACAAATAACCGAACTAGCAAATTAATATAACTCTTAAATAAAATCTATTGTCAAAATAATTATTCTAAAATTAAAATTTCCAATTTACTTAGTTAAATTTTCAATAATAACTACTAATTATACTAATGGAATAACGCTTAAAGAATAGAAATTAATGTTTTTTCTACACATTATCTTTGTTGAGTATCTGTGACGTCAAAGGTTATGAAACAATTGATAAAATAAAGACTAGAAATGGTGAGTAGAATAATACTTAAAAAAAAAGAAATATACATTGTCTTACAAAAATGCATCGTTACTTTCTATTCTATGCTACGATAACATACATTTTAATATACATACATAATTCCTATATTT